GATTGGCGGCCCATGTTCATCTTGGAATCAGTAATGACTCCAAGATCCTTTTCTGCCTCTGTGCTGACAAGAAGAGAGTTCCCCAGCCTGTAAGTATGCTGCTGGTTCTTCCTCCCCAGGTGCAATACCTAGCACTTGTCAGTATTGAAACCCATCCTGTTCTTATCCGCCCACCCCTGTAACCTGTCCAGATCTAGTTGTAGCCTGTCCCTCTCCTCTAGTGTGCCCACTTCTCCCCACATCTTAGTGTCATCCATGAATTTGAACAAGGTGCTTTTCACCCCCTTATCCAAGTCACTGATGAAGATATTGAACAGTGCAGGCCCAAGGACCGAACCCTGGAGAACCCCACTGTCCACGTCCCTCCAGGTCAAAAATGACCCATCCACCACCACTCTCTGAGTGCGACCCTCCAGCCAATTTGCAACCCATCTGACTGTGTAGGCATCGACACCACAGTCGCCTAATTTTTTAATGAGAATGAATGAGAGACAGTGTTGAAGGCCTTCCTAAAGTCCAGAAAGACTATGTCCACTATGACACCTGCGTCCAAGGATTTTGTAACCTGGTCATAGAAGGCCACCAGGGTGGTCTGACAGGACCTGCCTCTAATGAACCCATGTTGGTTGCCCCTACACATAATCTCCTCTGCTGGTCCCTTGCAGATATGCTCCTGGATAATTTTCTCAAAGAGCTTCCCCAGGACCGAGGTAAGACTAATGGGCCTATAGTTTCCTGGGTCCTCCTTCCTCCTTCCTCCCTTTTTTGAAAATGGGGACCACATTGGCCCCTTTCCAATCCTCTGGCACCTCACCAGAGCACCACGAGTGCTCATAAAGCTGTACCAGGGGTCCCGCAATGACCTCTGCTAATTCCCTCAGTACTCTGGGGTGGAGATCATCAGGACCTGCTGATTTGAATACGTCTAGTCCCACCAGAAGTTCCCTGACTAGTTCCTCACTGACCTTGGGCCTAGCTGTGCCTCCCCTGGGTCCGTCGGGGATCCCAGTGGTGGGGTTGACCCACCCCTGAGCACTGACCCAGTCCCTGCTCAGAAAAATGGAGACAAAGAAATTGTTAAAGAGGTTAGCTTTGTCATCTGGTGCAACGACCAGATTTCCTAGCATGTCCTGCAGAGGCCCCTCGTTACCCGGTACCCTCTTTTTACCCCCTATGTATTTAAGAAAGGACTTCTTGTTATCTTTGATCTGGGTTGCTAGTCCCAATTCCATCTCCACCTTAGCCTTCCTAGCAGCCCCCCTACAATCTCAAGCAATGGAAGTATAATCCTCCTTGGTCATGGCCCCTCCCTTCCATTGAGTGTACGCCTCCTTTTTAGCTTTGAGACATTTCTGGATGCTTTTG